CCGTGAAAAAGAGGAAGACTCTAAAGGAGATGGAGTGGCACAGTAAGGGCAACGATGAGCTCAAACACAGGGATGGTTGTGAAGATGGCACAGGACCAGACAGTGTTTTGTTCTGGGGAACATGGGCTCACTGTTGATATAGTGGGATCGCGGGTGGGCTACTCACTTCAAGGTTAGCAGTCCAAAACGACCAGCTACTCTGGGAAAGAAAGATATTTTCTACTCCGGCAAATAGTTGCAGTCTTGGAAACACACCCGGGGCAATTATAGTCTGTCCTACGGGGTCACTATGAGTCAGAATCATCTCGAAGGCAATGGGATATTTTTGGTTTTGTTTATTTTGATATTTTTTTAAACAGCAGCAACATTCATTCAAATAGCCACTTAACACAAAGTGATCTGCTTGGCACTAAGGGAAGTACAAAGAAGAATAAGACACAGCACAGCTCTGCCTTCAAAATCGTAATGAAAATGAGTGCATCAATGACTGCATTCTCTGACGTGTATGATGAAAACTAAAATAGAGAAATAAAGAGTTGCTTGTGGGTGTTTCAAGGAAAGGAGGGCTTTGCCATTTAGGGATTAAGGAAAGGTATAAAATCAGTGTGCCTCTAGACAATGGGCAGGATGGAAACAAACAGGTAGCTAAAGGAGGTGGGTGGAGGTGCACATTCTAGATGCAGGCAGCAGCATCTGTGAAGAAGAAGGATCACGTGTCTCAGTTCTGGAAGGACAGGGAGTCTATTTTCGCTGGATTGTAGGAAAGCAGGGGAGAAGGACTGGAAAATTTGGCTGGAAGTAAACTGTATAGCTTTCTCCTGAATTTTCCACTTAGCTCGAGAAAGATCAGGGAACTGCCTATAAGTTTGTGAGTAGAGTACTAAAGTGATAAAAAGAATACTAAAGTAAAACTCTACTTAAAAGACCTTTTTTTCTGACCAAAGAAATCTGAATGAGTTACACAAGAGTCAAGAAGGCAGAATCTTATAATGATCTAAAAGGGAGGGTTGTACTACATGTGTGGTGGAAAGACTGATGAATTGGGAAGGTTGGACGATAAGCTTCAGAGGGTTTTTGAAATTTTAAGGAACTTGTTGGTTCAGTGGTTACATTCTCAGCTACTAACCCAAAGGCCAATGATTCAAACCTTTTATCTATGGAATAAAGCTGTGCTAGTCTTCTTCCCTAAAGATTAGTCTTGGAAATGCTATGGGGCAATGCTACTCCGTTCTACATGATTACGAGGAGTTGGAATCTGCAGAATGGTAATGGCTGGGTCTGGGTTTGATTTCTGGAGTGTGTTTAGCTCGTGGATCTGTAAAATGAGAAAGAGTCCTTGAATGGGCTAAATATTTAAGAGCCAACCACTAACTGCAAGGTTGGAGGTTTGAGACTGCAGAGAGGCTACAGAAGAATCAATGCATTTGAACTTCCAGAAGAACGAACCGATCCATCTTCAAGAAGTACAGCCAGAATGCTCCTTAGAAACAAGAACGGGAAAGCTCTGTCTCATGTCTTTTGGACATATTATCAAGAGAGACCAGTCCCCGGAAAAGGACATCCTGTCTGGTGAAACAGAAGGTCCGTAAAAAAGAGGAATACCCACAAAGAGACGCATTGACACAGTGACAGCAACAATATACTCAAGCATAACAATTTTGAGGATGACGTAGGTCTGGGAAGAATTTTGTTCTGTTTAACATCGGGTTCCTATGACTTGGAACCAACTGGACAGCATCTCACAGCAACAGAGGCCTTTCAGAAGGTCTGGTGATATGCTGCTAGTTCTACTTGCCCCCATAAGGGAATCCACAGCAATTGGCTGGCTGGATGTCTGATTGTAACAATATACTATAATGAGGGTGTTAACCACAAGCAAGTTGCCAGCTGGAAACGGCCTGCTCTTTCCAGCATATCTCCTCTTAATGCAAAGTAATTGCGCCAGCTGATTACAAGTTTTAAATCCAAATAGTGGTGAGACTTTAATTGTACATCCTGAGCCAGGTGCTCAGGTCCTACTACTTATCTCCAAATGAGGCATTTCAGAAGAATGCTTTGGCTGGTGGGGTGGGGTGTGGTTTTTAGTAAACCTCCTATGGTTTTCCTGACTGGTGAAACCACACGACTTTGCCAACTTTCTCCAGACATAAACTTTTGTTAGCGGCCCCAGTGCTCATTTGCCATCTTCAGCTTTGTATATAGGAAGGGATGAAATAGCTTAGATGTTTCTAAGGTCTCCAGGGTTCATTTAAGAAAAGAATTTCTGAAAAAGACTCCCAAATCTTATAAGCACACAAACACAGTCGAAAACAGACAACTTTGCTATGAACTTTCCACTTATTTCATGTTTTTTTTTAACAGACACTGCATTTAGGCAGGACTGAAAAAAAAAATCAGAAGCGCCAAAAGACTGCCACACATTCAAAGATGGAAGAACTCCAAAGACCTTCTAGGAGTAGGGATGGAAATAATTTACTCTCACTCTGACAGATTTGCTAACAATTGCAGAGGGTGACATAACTGGTGTGCTGAGGAGGCCCACTTCCCTCTTTTAGAGGTATTTGATTCAAGACCTCTCAGCTTCCCTCTTATGAGAGACATGTTGCCCACTTGCAATATCAGGGAGTAGTGAGTGCACAAGGACTGTGCTAGTGCAGGCTAAGGCTGCTCTGGCACCAAACTATATTATATAAACGCATACATTTTTTTTTAAAAGAGAAAGGAGAGGGGAGAAGAAAGGAAGGAAGAGTAAGGGAGGGGAGAAAAGGGGCCAGATGGAAAAGGAGAAGAGGCCCCCTCCTTGAGAGAGGCTCAAATAGATGTACAAGCAGCTCAGACACCTCCCTGGCCCAGCTGCAAAGTCTGCCTCTCCCTCTGTCCCACTCCTACCACCACTCTCTCCTTGTCCACTTACTCACTCCTCTTCCCCTAGATGTTCCTTCCACCCAGATGCCTCCTAAGGTTTGGTAAAAGGGGTGGTGGTGGAGGAGGTATTAACACAACATGGAAATAGTAGTTGCCCTGTTCCACCTGAAAAATCTGTCTCTAACGATGCCTAAATCTCTTCCTCTGTCCCACCCCACCTCTACTTTTCCACTTCTTCTTTCCCTCTATATTCCTTCCACCCTGATTGCTGCTCAACTCTGGTAAAGAGGGGGTGGTCATGGTATAAGTGTGCCATTGACATTGTCATTGCCCTACTTCAGCTGAAAAACGTCCTCGGACTTCTATAGCTCTTCCTTTGTTCCACTCCCTAGCTCCAGCCCTTCCATGTCCACTCACTCGCTGCCTCTTCTGGATAGGAGCCCTGGTCCCCCAGTGGGGGGGGGGGTCACCCATTGGGTTGCTGACTCTAAAGTCAGTTCCAGGAGAGAAGGAGCTGCTACTCCTGTAAAGAATTACGCTCTCAAAAACCCACAGGGGCAGTTCTACCCTGACCTGTAGGGCTCACTAGGAGCTGGAATGGACTCGAAGGCAGCAAGTTTAGTTTTCATTTCCCACCTGCCCCCCTACCCCCCAGCCCCGCATGTCTCTTCTGCCCTGTTGTCGATGTCCTCTTTTTCACTAGCCCTTCACTTTACCACACCTGATGGTCTTCTGCAGGGACACATATCTCCTGACAACATGTTCAAAGTACCTGAAAGAAAGTCTCCCCATCCGTGCCTCGAAAAGGAATTCTGGTTGTACTTCTACCAAGGCAGAATTGGTTGTTCGCCTGGCTATCCATGGCACTTGCAATATTCTTCGCCAGCACCATTAAGTCATAATTACAGCCTGACTCCTACTAAAGACTAGTAAAGGAATGGAGGTGGTATTAACACACCATTGAAATGGTAGCTGCCAGGCACAGAGAATAGAATCTCCTTTGCATTTTTTCCTGAACGCATTCTGCCAGAACAGCTTAACTTTACCCAACCCAACTCAAACACAGACAATCCAGTTTATTAATTTGAAAATCTGTTTATTTGAGGGTGCACTGAGAAATGGATTTCTGGTTACGCCTTTCCCAAGCAAACTTATCTAGGGAACAAGGGTCTTTCACGCAGAACTTGGTAGATTGATTTCTGGGCCCAGATTTCCTGTGCCCACCGTGTTGAAATGAAAGCCTCCCTGTCATTCACATTTTCCCACGAACACTTAATTAAAATATGCCCCTGAATTTACTCTCCATTCCAGGGTACAGGGTTGTCCTTCTCTGCCATTGTTCGTTAACCGAAGACGCTCAGCGAGGTAGTTAGCTTGAGCTTTACAATTTCACATTCCTAAAGACAGTTTCACCCAACAAACACCAGGACCTCCTTACATGATGCCCACGGCGCCCTCTATAGCTCCAAGAAACCTCACCTTCTGCCCAACAGAGCTGGGTGTGTGTAACCCTCTTTCCTGGGGCTAACCAAGCACATGCCACATGTCACTGCACTCAACTGGCACCTCTCCCAACCACCCCCACCAGGAGGTGCGGACTTTCTGGGAATCCCATGTGGGGAGGGAGAGGGTGGAGGTACCACCTCAGCTACCCACAAAAGTCCCTCCAGTCCTACAGCCCCAAGGGGGAAGTCTAAAGTCCAAGGACGGGAGCCAGTAAGGAGTCATTGCAGGACCAGAAGCTAGTCTTCCTGGGCCCGGGCCACAAGCCTTCATGTGGGTGGCAAAACTCAGGGTGGTGAGAAACGAGCCAGCCGCCAATCTGCTCTTTGCAGCCTCCTATGCCAATGTGGGTTTGATTGGAACTCTGGTTTTCCGGGCGCAAATGCCTGAGCTCCCTGCGCCCCAAAGGATGGTACCCTGGCACTATGCGCTGGGCTGACAGTCTGATCTCCTCTCCCAGTGCCAAGACCCACTCCGCGTCACCTCTCCCTCCAAGACTACTAGCAGGAAGCTGTATTCGCAAACAAAAGGTGCCCCCCGCGCCTCCCTAGGTTCAGGGCTTAGGGGTCCTATTGGCCTCAAGGGAGTCCAGGACGTTTGGCCGCGGACGTAGCCCCCTCTAGAGCGCCTACCTGTGAAGCCAAGGCTCTGCGGGGCGTGCAATAGCAGAAGCAGAAGTGGCTGCAGCAGAAAAGCCCAGCGTGCGGGACTCCCCATGGCGCGCTGGCGCTATGCTGGGCTGGGGCGCAGAATGCTTCTCCGCGCAGGAAGAGGACCCAAGCGCTGTGCTAAGCGCGGGCTAAGGCCACCCAGTAAAACTCCTCCTCTTGCCCGCCTCCCGCCAACCCTCCTGTCTCAGCCTGCCTCCTAGGAACACAGCCAAGTTTGTGGCTCCAACCCACCCCCCTCCTTCTGTAATCGCCTCCTCTCCAAGCTGGGCTGGCTGGACTCTCCGGGCCTAAAAAGTGGTCAATGAGCTGCAGCAAACCGGAATATCTGAAAGCATCCTTCTGTTCATTTGTAAGTTCCTCACGCTGAATACACACCCTGGCGGCTTGTCAGCCTCCCAAATTCCTGGCCAGCAAGAGAAAGGGGCAACCAAGGCGGTCCGAAGTACCCATCTATGATCAGCTATAGTGGCCACGTTCTCAGGCCAAGTTTAGTGTTATTTGGGTATGTTTTATCTGAGAAGAAACCAGCGCGTAGAAACTTGCGCAGATCATCTTAATAAAGTGGGGGTTTGAACTTCAATTTGGGGTTATACTGGCATCAATGTCCCTGATACACGTTTTTTGTTCCTTTCTCTTTGGGTAAAGGTACAGATCAAGGGCTGAGCCGGGTGTGTGTCTGCGCACTGCGGTTTAGGGCTAGTCTTGAGGTTCTCCTTCCAGAGTGGGGAAGCACAAGGCACAGAAAGTTCCCTGCCTCCCCCACAGCCTCTGGGATTCAGCTGCAGTTTCCTGAACCAGATCCTCTCATTTCCTGGGTTTTTCTCAACCACCTCAAGGATACCATGGCCAGCCTACAGCCTCCGCCCTGTGGCCTGGCATCAATGAATCCTGACATCAGGATAGGGTTTCTAGGCTGCCTGCAGGAAGGATCTGGTTTCATGGAAGCTTTTGGGAAAAGGTTCTCTAGTTTGTTTGTTTTCCTGTTGTTGTTATTGGAAGTCCCTGAAGGAGCAGCTCACCCCTTTGCTGCCTGAAGGTGATAGTACTTTGAAGACAATTAAAATTAGGGTTACTGCAACAGATTGTGTACTGCACAAAGGATCCCGAGGGGAGGAACCAGTGGAATCAGAACTCCAGCTGCTTCTGGGCTCCCTGAGCCAATGTCTTCACATGGCCCACGTCTACTGTGGACCAGTGCCTTCCTCTTTGCCTTTGGTGTGGTCCGTTTCCTGGACCGTGGGCCCTGGGATCATCTTCCAGGTTTTCACAAAGAATGGAGCTCTGCTGGTGCTGTCCAGTAAACGTTGGATTGCTAACCACAAGGTCAGCAGTTCTAACCCACCTTGGGAAACAGACCCTCTCAGCAAGCCTCTATGTAGACCTCGGGGGCTGTAGTGGTTGTGCATTGGGCTGTGTTCTGCATGATGGGCAGTTCAAAAGCACCAGAAGCTCCTTGGGAGAAAGACTGGGCTTTCTAATCCTACAAAGAGTTACAGTCTCAGAAACCCACAGGGGGTCACTATGACTCAACATTGAATACATGGCAGAGAGTTTGGGTTTTGGAGAGCATATCTATGAGATGACTCGAGAAGCCTTTCTTCGATGAGTAGGCAATTAGGCAGCCTCGTTATCATGTAAGAGGTGATATACAAGAGACTATAAAGTTGATCCCTCCTGAAGGAAGTAATAGAGAAAGGCACACGAGATAGGAAGGCGCTCCCTTGAGAGCTAGAGAGAACGCACCTCAGGACAAAGATGAGTTACAGTCTCAGAACCCCTATTTAGGGTAGCTATGAGTTGGAATCGAGTGGAGGCGGTGGGGTGACTATCCTAATCAAAACAAAGAAACAACCAAAAGAACTCGCCACCATCGAGTCAATTCAGACGCATAGTGATGCTATAGGACAGGGTAAAAGTCTCTGAGACTCTAACTCTTTATGGGAGTAGAAAACCCCATCTTTCTCCTGCAGAGTGGCTGGTAGTTTCGAACTGCTGACTGTCCAGTTGGCAGCTCAATGCTTAACCACTACACCACCAGGTCTCCTAAGAGTGTGCTATTTTTCAATTTTCACAAGAGCTCCTGATTTGAACTTCCATATTATTCTGTCCAGCTCTTATGGGGCCATCTCCATATATCCTCTGTTTCTCCATCACTGCTACTTCTTTTAGGTGCCGTCAACTTTCCAGCCCCTCACATATCATGATTCACAAGATAATGAGGCCACCTAATTGCCTACACATCGAAGAAAGGCTTCCTAGTCATGCCAGATGCATGCAGACAGGGTCTACTTTGTCCTATGGAGCAGGGCTGCATACCAAGCAAAGTGCCAGAAGGTGAGGAAGAGGGCGCACAAGCATCAAGGACTGGCAGGAGGAGAGGGGTGAAGGTGCCATTCCACCCTCTGCAGTGTGGAGGAGGTTGGGTTAAACTACAGAGTCTCATCCCTGAGTCAGAACAGCGTGATCCACAATGAACAAGGAACGAAATGGTTTTGATAGACCCTCACTTTCTGCCTAGATTTTATCAACTCTGATATCATTGGAGGATTTGACAGCCACCTCCTTATGCACAAGAGAGACATTCTAAGAAGGACAGAGAGAGTCGAGGTCTTTCCTTCCCTGTGGCACTACCATCTCCCCACACCTTCTCATTCAACCATCCACCCAAGTCTGTTCTTCTCCCATATCCATGCAGAGCAAACCACTAGCTGCTCCTTGGGAGAAGGATGGGGCTTTCTACTCTTGTAAAGACTTATAGTCTCCTGTCAGTTGACCTCCCTCTTGACCCAACCTGAATTTGCTCTAGGCTCAAGTTTTCTCACTTGTTCCAGGACAGAAATTTCTTCTCTGGCTTTTTAAAAATTGATGGCGGTCTTTTTATTCTTACCCTTTATTTTTATTTTTATATTGTTATCATTTTTCTGTGTTGTTGTTCAATTCAATGGCAGTGAGGTGAGTAAAGGGCCTGAAGCTTAAGGTGACAAATGATGGTTCATTGCACCTTGGGGAATGGATTGACAGTGGAAGGAAAGTGAAAGAGACACTCAGGGTAGTGCTTCTCAAACTACCTCTGAAGGACTTAAACTTTTTTTTAAAAAGTTTCCAATCCATCATGAAACTGATTTTTTTGGTAAAAATCAGTAAGCATGGATTACTAAAATACAAAATGGAAAAAAGACAAAGACATACACATAAAAATCCAGTTTTCATTATTAGATTCAACTGGTGTAAAATTATTTGTCCACATTGCTCTAATCATTTTAAGATCTAATAGTTTTTAATGTTTCTGTATTTCATTGCCACAAGAGCAGCCGGGGTTTGAGTAGTGTAGTAATAGGAGATTTAGTCTTTGTTACTATGTTCTACAGACCACGTACTACACTAGACTCCCCCGCATTCAGAGAACTCCAGAATATAAGGATGAGGAGATTCAACCTCAGTTTATTAGAATCATTCTAAATGAATATCAAGTGAAAAGATTGAGTTGAGCTGGTAGTTGAAATCATTGGTGTCTAAAAAATTTAGATCTCTGAGAATTAGGGTGGGAATGCTCAAAGTCAAGATCAAAGAAGCTAAGGATAATCCTCAAATAGCATCAATTTACAATATCTTGGCTTAAAGATATCCCTTCTCTTTCTAGGATAAATATTTAGATTTAAACAACACAATATTTAGGGGTTGAAAAATTTTGGAACACAAGGTAAAGTGAATATTTTTTACTCTAAATATAAACATATAAAAAAGACAGATCTCGGTTTTGAAATTTGTAAACTACCAAAAAAAAGACAATTTCAGAAAGCATTTACTTGGGGCTGTCTGCAAAAGGCTCAAGGAAAATGCTCTTATGAAGTGGAAATAAGGGGAATATGCAAATAGAAACATACAGAATTAAAAAATGAAATCAACAGCTTTTTGTTTTAGATGTCCCTGTTCCTGTCCTTATAATAAAAAAATGATTCTTCTGGATATCAACATAGAGCTGAGTTTTCAGGACAAATCATCACCGCCACATCTGGAGAGACCAAGGAATGTACAGAGCCGTAGCCAAGATCTGTTTACCTAGAGCAGAAGACACTGTATAAGCTACAAGCTGGTTGGACACTTCAGTGGCAAATTTGCTGAAGCTCCACTGTGGACTAGTGTGAGCCTGAGAAAGCAGGGGTGGAAGTTGGGGTGGCTATAGTCCTAGTGGGAGTTCCCATGCTCTCCTAGGCTTTACCCATAGGAACTCTACCATGGTAAAACATCAAGAAATATTTTGTTTTCCTGTTCTGGAAGATGACGGGGAAATGAATAATCCTTATGGAATATGTCCAGAGCCAGATCCACGAAAAAGTGCTACTCTACAGGAGAACTTTACCAGAGCCTTTTTGGACCTGGAAAATGATTATTTTCTGATTCCCAACTCGACTAGCCTTCCTCTCTCTAAGAGCTGAAACAAAAAACCTAGGGAACACTTGTGAAGATCACAGCTCAAGGTCACAGACTCATTAAAAGACTTGCATTTAATAATAAACATATAGAATTCTTCCCTCCTTGACACAGTATCATGATACTAAAAAGGCTCCAGTATACTAATAATAGATGGCAGCTATAAGACAAGACAAAAACCAAACAAAACCGCATTGTCACCGAATCCATGCAGACTCATAGCAAGCATGCAGACTCAAACTGCCCCTAGAGTTTCTGACAGTTACTGCTTACAGGAGCAGAAAGCCCTATCTTGCTCCCGAGGCGCGGCTGGTGGTTTTGAACTGCTGACCTTGTATTTGATATCCCAATGAGTAACCACTATCCCTCCAGGGCTCCTTCTAATCCTGTAGGAAGCCCTAAATCAAGAAAGGATCCATAAAGAGGCACTAGAGGAATATACAGTCTCTGACACCTACAACCAGAGTAAGCATTAAACCTAGCCCAAATCCTTTCCAGTTAGTGTTTTAAGCTTGTGGGACAGAAATCCTGTTTTCTTGCTGACTTTTGACCAAACTGCACCTTGCCCTCTGCCCTCCTCCATGTCAGCAACAGAGCACTTCCCTCACATAGAATCGCTCATATGGTGACTCTCTCTGACTTCCACTG